GCAAGCAATCGAGATTCTCAGAGGCAAGGCAATGGATTAGAACCAAGATACCTTTGACTGCTTGAGTATATTTGTACACCTTTCCTAAGTGTAAGTGAAATTTTTGAAATGTAGGCTCCTGACAAATCAGTTTGGGAAATTGGGGGGTGTGAATCTTGCTCTACATTTCCCCACACTGACTAATTGCAACTGCCAGTTCTGCATTGCTGGAGAGACTGGAAATTGTAACTCAAACCATGAGTTTCCTAATCTTGGGGGTTGGGGTTTTTTTACGCAAATGATTTCCTTGTGCATGTGATTTTTGCTGAAGAGCAGTGTGGCTAGGTGTATGACAGATTGCATGTGTACTAGAATGGGGGAGGGAAGGGAAGTTAAATTGGCATTTTCCCCATGGTTTCATTTAAAGTCACACTTCTCTCTGAACATTGTTTACCTATTATAGTTACAAGTAAGACCTAAAATGACTAGAATTGAAAGATTGGTGTTTGTGTGTATTTTGTACATTTGATGGAACTATGTATATTGTCAGTTTCCCTGTGTAGTCAGCTAGTTAGCCTTACAACCTGTTTGTGTAGAACTTTTACACAGCAACAGGGGAGAGAGAAACAACTTTTAAAAAGATAGGAAATATGATTGCAGAACCATAAAGTGATGAGGTGTCAGAGCAGAACCGGAAATTGTTTAATGCAGTTTTAAAACTGCATTAAACGACAAGTTATTTGAGGGACACTATCAATCTGAAGTTAAAGACCTATTCTAAAACGGGTACAATTAGCATTGTCTCTGTATGGTGAATTCCTTCAGTCTAAAACATAAAAGCAGTTAAACATCTTATAGAGCAAATTGGGCATCCTGGCACCTTGAATATACAAAGCTCTGTCAGCCTAGAGCAGGAGTTCTCACAAGAAATTTTTGGTGGTCTTAGAGTGCGGCCACCAACTATTGCTGGTGGCTGCTCTGACAATTTTTCCTAAAATACTCAATTAAGTTTAGGAAAAACAAATAAATATTCATCTATACATGTCATTGTAATTTATGGAGGTTTTTTCACAGACTCAATAATAAAAATAATGTACAGTTTTCTCTGTTCTTTACTGGACCTAAACAGGAGAGAAACAAATAATGTGTTTTGCATGTTCTTTTCCCTTTTTGTTGTTGTTTCTTTTGGGGTTTTTTTGGTTGCTTATTTTTTTAAGACTTGCTAGCTAGTAAGTCTGTGTGAAAAGTGATATTTGTAATTTGTTAATATCACTTTTCACAGCAGAAGACTTGCTAGCTGGCAGGGAGGTAGTGAAAAGTGATATTAACAAACATACAAATATCATTTTGCACAACAGACTTACTCAGCCCTGGCAAGCTGGGGGACAAATTAAGCCCTGGATGGGAAGGTGGGCAGGGAGGTTGGGCAGGGAGCTCGGGGCCAGGGGTGATGGGGGCGGCAGGGGGGAGAGTCCGGGGACTGGAGTCCTGCAGCTGCACAGCCCTGTGAGTCTGGGGCTGGAGGATGTAGTGGGGACCAGGGGCCATGTGTGGGGGTGGTGAGCTTGGGGCCAGCAGTCACTGCCACATGGCTGGGGGCCGTGGCTGGATTGCGTGGGCCCATGGGTGGAGTCCAAAACCCTGCAGCTGGAGGTCAGGGCACATGGCCGGGGGGAGGGGGGAGCCCCGGGAACAGGGCTCAAAGCCCATGGCCAGGGGATGTAGCCCGCCACCACATGGCTGGAGCCTGCCATCCACCATCCCAGGTCTGAAGCCCAAGCCCCGCCACCTGCCTGCTCCTCCAGCATTTGTGGCTCCAGAGGGGGACAATGCCCAACCCCTACTGGCAGGCCTGGGGGGGGGGGCACTGCTTTGCTCCCTTCCCCCCACCAACACCCAGGAAGCTGTGGCCACATGAAAAGTCCTGGTGGCTGCATGCGGCCATGGTGGCCGCATTTGAGAAACGATGGCCTAGAGGACTGTTATGCTTGTGTTTTAAACTAGGACTTTATTATAGTCCTGCTGATGCATCCTTTAAATACTCCTTGTGGCACACACACTTTGCCAGGCCCATAGCAATACACACCAATGCTCCTATACACAGGAACCAGTGTAGTCTCTAGTTCCATAGCTGTGAAAGTCACCCTTTGCCACAGTATTATGCACAACAGCTCTGCTTTCATTTAAAAAGAAAATTATGTGACTAACCCTCACTGTTTTAGAGAACCTTGAAAGTGAGAACTGAGTGTAAGCTGATGCCTGAGTTTGTAGACAGCATGAGACAATAGTTGAGAGGCATGATCTGCTCCATGCACCTTAGTGGGTTGTTGACTTTGGAATTGAAACATAATGACCAATGAATGGCACATTGGAAATAGAATCTGTGTGGACACATACAGTGAATTGAATATTCAGGTAAGAGTGGGGCTACTATAGTGATTGAATTCATTTGCATATTTAAATAAACCTTAATTTTTGTACTTGAAGATGGTATAGAATTTTCCGTCAGAGTGCCACGATGCAAGCACCTTGCTGCAAAGAATATGGGGTCTTTAATATACACCTTGGATTCATGGTTCGTGTGCCTGTTGCTCACAGAGGGAGAAGAGGAAACATTGCGAAGTTGTAAATACTGAGAAATGTTAACTTAATCCCAGGAAGCGAAAGCAGTGATCAATACAGCTGTAGTAATAAAACAAATGTTTCCAGTCAATACAGATTGTTTTCTCAGCTGCTAAAGGAAAAACCTTCCACTATATCACTTCATTAAGTTGTGCCTCAGTAATTCTGCCTTATCTACAAAATGCACAGTGGTAGCATCAACAATCAATATTGTTGCAAAGACATGTTTCTCCGTAAGTGCTTTCATGGCTAGCCAGGCATAGTTTTTACATTAGCTAAAATGGGGTGCAGAGGGAAAATTGTGGCACTTGATTTGAAAAGGGGAAAAAAACAGATGATTGAGCATTATTGCAACCTCATTTCTCCTTTCCATTGCTAGAAATACTATTTCATCATGATGGTGCTGTTTGCTCTTCAGGAATAGACATTGCCTGTGTTATAGCCTAGTTATCTAAATTATAGAGCATGCCAACCTTATTGCTTTTCCACTGTCTATTTCAAGCCTTGGGAAAAAGCCAAAGCACATACTGTAAACACTAGCTGGGCGCTTGATTGTGCCTTTTGCACCCTAAGTGTGCTGCGAGGGCATGGAGCAGGCCATATGGCAGCTGCTGTCCCCGGAAGAAATTCTGACTGAGTCCTTTGTGGGTGTCTCTCAGGTAGTGCAGGCGGGTGCAGCAACTATACCCATGGCCCAGGTGCAGAATGTGCTGCCCACTGAGGAGCTGAAACCTTGTTTTCACCCCACCTCTCCCTGGCTGCTTTTAAGCGTCTCACATCTGTTGGGACAACAGAAAGGGCCAGGGCCCCTGCACAGATGAATGGGAGGAGGAAGAAGAAGAGGCCGCTCCATGCATCTGTGTACGGGTTGGACACAATCTGGCCCTAAGCCAATAGAGTTGTTTCAGTATTAGCCATTATCTACTCCATGAGCCGGATTTTCAGATGGTGGAAATTAGCATAGCCCCATTGCAGTCAGTGGAGCAACTGATTTACACCAGCCAAGGATCAGGCCCTATATGTAGATTTTACTGCCCTCTTAGTCCTTTCTCCACCCCTCTCCTTCCTTCTTAGGTGGAATACTTGTAGGGCTTCTGTCTTGTGGAGGTTATTTTCATTGGCAGAGGAGGGGGGCATTTTTAGCAATTTAATGTTTATCAAGATGTCCCAAAATTGGGGGGAGGGTTGGGGCTTTCTCTTTGTATATAACTAATGACTAGTGTCCACATTAAAATACATTACTTATTACAAGAGTGTATACTGTAATGAATAATCTGGGTAATGTTCCTTAGTGCACTTTAATGTAATACTGTTTGAAACTGCACTACATTAAAGTGCACTAGGGAACCACTAGTGTGCATCAGCAGGGCCTACGCAGACGAACTAATGCACAACATTAGTGCACTTTAGCAATTACACCTTGTAGTCTGCATTGGTGCTCTGTGTAGGGAAGCTCTTAGATAAAAGTAACCATTTCTGGTTTTCTGTTTATTGGATAAACAGCAATTTTTAATTTTTGTTTTATTTGTGTCAGGGGTGTTATTGGTGTGCATTGGTTAAAATAAAAAATCAGAAGTCCTACATATTTGATAAAGCAGATCCAGGTTCATTCTTTTCCCTTACTCTTGTTAACTAGTCTGACAGCAGCTAAAAGACTATTTGAACATATGAACTATTTGCATAACAGTATTGAAACTGGGTTAAAAAACTAAGCCAAATAAGGCAAAAGCAATTGTGAGAAGTTCCTGGATGACAAGTGCAACCCTAATGTTAAAAATGTCCATGTTATTGGTTTAATCGGGAGGAAAAAAGATGAATCACTTATTCATCATGATGAATCACGAATATTTATTTGTAAAAGAGCCCATGTGTATTATGGGCTTGAATCAGCAAGGCATCAAATCCAGCAGGAGCCAAGGCACTCAGCACCTTGCAGCATTGATCCCCACACGTTGTATGTTCACTGTGTGTTCCACCATACTGCTCTGTGCAAGGACCTGAACAAGACAGAGGGGAGAGAAAGCACTCCACATCTTATAGTGTATTTGAGAGACAAGAAGCTTCAAGTCCTCCCTGAGCCAAGCAGGGGAACCTTCAGGTTTGTCAGTGAGGCGGTTGCATAATTTGGAAAGAATAAGATTAATCATAACTAAGAGGAGGCTGAAAATCTGTACAGCGCTAAGCACAATGGGGTTCAGTGCCCAGGAGCTCTACTCCTGGACCAAAAACAATACAAATGATAACTAAAAATAATATTTCCCTCTTTTTTTTTTAAGGTACAGATAATGAATATGTAAGAACTACCTGTGTTTGGGAGATGCTTCCCTCTTCCTCAGCCATCTGATCAATTGTGGTGGTAAATTGTTACCAAACTAATTACCACATTTTGGAATTGACAGGTACCCTCAGAGAGAAGAGATCTGGATAGACTGTGACAAGCTCATACTAACACAATACCTCACCCAGACAGTAAGGTCCACTTTCAGCAATAAGGAAGGGGGCCAGAATGGGGGGAAGTGACTCTGCCAACCTGCAGGAATCTGCACAGACCCATCCTTGACTTCTGGATGGAGCCCCAGAGCATCCTGCTGTAGACTGTGTGAACTCCACCAGGCAAGTAAAATGTTTTTCCTTCACAAATGTTACAATATATCTAGGCTAAGTGTGGAAAGCAGATGCTTCCTCAGTATGGGTCCAATCCTGCAATATGCTGAGCACTTTCAATGGGAGTGGAGGGTCCTCAGTACTCCACAGGATGGGACCTATGGCAATATTACTGCTGTTCTCCTGGTAGGACTAGAGATGCTAGGGACCAGATAGTTATGCACCCAAACCCTCTGAGTGCGGAACTGCAAGTCTTCTAAGAAAGAAGACCCACCTGGGCCTTCCTCCCTCATCCAACTAAAAAGAGTGCAAAGGTTGGGAAAGGGTAAAGCTACTGGCCAAGCGCACATGAAGGGCAGTGGTACCCAATCTATCTGCAGTTAGCTGCCCTCAGCACAAATGGCCAGACTTCTCAAGGATTGGTCATTTGCACCATCCACACACCATTGTAAAGATTATTGGGAGGAGGAGGATGCAGGGGGATCTGTCTGCATGCAGCACCCTAGCCCAATAAAAAGGCTGCTCAAAGGATGGGCTGGAACTGGGGCAAAGGGCTCCAAGAAGCCACTTCTGGCAGCAAGGTCACCTGCAGCCGAACCTCCCCCCACTTCCCTATAAATCCTCATGGGAAGGGAATTCATGTACTCCTATTTAGTAGAGGGGAAAATGCAACGTTTTGAAAAAATAACCTCAGACCCTGAATGGCCAGCTGCCTCTTAAAAAAAAATTATTCAAAGCCAATAGTGTAATATAATTGTGTGTTTACTGAATCGGTGTATTGTACATACGTGTTTAGGATTAATTATTTTGTAAATGTTGAATACTTGGTTTTTGAGGGGAGGCATAAAATGCGGAGTTATTTTATGTGTAAATATGTACACTTAGATCAAGACTGGGCAAAAGCCAAGTACTTAGAACTGGTTTCAGGAGTCAGGGTTAGGGAATCATCTCACCCCTACTGGCTTGTGTTGTGACAAAATGTGTCATCTCAGACATGTAATAAGAAAGCCCACATACTGCTTCTGATAACTCGTCACCCTCAGGCTTTCTAAACAGATGGGAGCACTAAACACCAAAATGCTTGTGCTGCTTACAGGCTGGCAAATGGCCCGATGCCGCTACTAACAGAAGGAGTAGTGTTATTCCTCAGTTATTTACAAATTGAAATTCTTCTGGAAAGAATTACTTCAATACGTAGGACATGATCCCAGTGCTTTGGCAGAATGCATTAGTTAACATGAGCTGTAGATCTTAGGGATTAGAATGGATCATATTAGGTTAAAGTGTGGTGCTGTCTAATGGATTGTGACCTTCTAGCTCTAATGGAAAGTTTTTATTTGCACCCATTGTAAATATCTTAGTTAATATGTCAAGGTTAGTCTTTGCATGAATGAAATGGTAGGCCATTCATCTTCAACTGTATCATGAAGACAGTCTTAACCTGGATATACAGCTATTACAGTGCAAGCATGGCAATTAGACTGATGGTAATTCATAGAATCATAGAATCATAGAATATCAGGGTTGGAAGGGACCCCAGAAGGTCATCTAGTCCAACCCCCTGCTCGAAGCAGGACCAATTCCCAGTTAAATCATCCCAGCCAGGGCTTTGTCAAGCCTGACCTTAAAAACCTCTAAGGAAGGAGATTCTACCACCTCCCTAGGTAACGCATTCCAGTGTTTCACCACCCTCTTAGTGAAAAAGTTTTTCCTAATATCCAATCTAAACCTCCCCCCACTGCAACTTGAGACCATTACTCCTCGTTCTGTCATCTGCTACCATTGAGAACAGTCTAGAGCCATCCTCTTTGGAACCCCCTTTCAGGTAGTTGAAAGCAGCTATCAAATCCCCCCTCATTCTTCTCTTCTGCAGGCTAAACAATCCCAGCTCCCTCAGCCTCTCCTCATAAGTCATGTGTTCCAGACCCCTAATCATTTTTGTTGCCCTTCGCTGGACTCTCTCCAATTTATCCACATCCTTCTTGTAGTGTGGGGCCCAAAACTGGACACAGTACTCCAGATGAGGCCTCACCAATGTCGAATAGAGGGGAACGATCACGTCCCTCGATCTGCTCGCTATGCCCCTACTTATACATCCCAAAATGCCATTGGCCTTCTTGGCAACAAGGGCACACTGCTGACTCATATCCAGCTTCTCGTCCACTGTCACCCCTAGGTCCTTTTCCGCAGAACTGCTGCCTAGCCATTCGGTCCCTGGTCTGTAGCTGTGCATTGGGTTCTTCCGTCCTAAGTGCAGGACCCTGCACTTATCCTTATTGAACCTCATCAGATTTCTTTTGGCCCAATCCTCCAATTTGTCTAGGTCCTTCTGTATCCTATCCCTCCCCTCCAGCGTATCTACCACTCCTCCCAGTTTAGTATCATCCGCAAATTTGCTGAGAGTGCAATCCACACCATCCTCCAGATCATTTATGAAGATATTGAACAAAACCGGCCCCAGGACCGACCCTTGGGGCACTCCACTTGATACCGGCTGCCAACTAGACATGGAGCCATTGATCACTACCCGTAATTCCAGCCTAAACCCCTGTTTATACCATGTTGGGCTCAAGTTTCTCCTCCTGAAAGTGAATTATTTTGGAAGTCTGCAAGTTATGGGCAGGGGAGAGGGGGAAAGCATCACTTTTAACCCATTAAAATACAATTAAGAATTTTCCCCCCCTTTGGATAATTTCAAAACAACTCGGGGTATGAGTGCATAGCACTCGGAACGTGACTGCCGCTTGAGTTGAACTATCTGAGTTTAGCTTTAATCTTGCTAGCTCAGTTCCTGGAGCAGTGAAGTTGTGGCACATCAGCCTAACCTACCCCTACTCAGGATTCTGGGTGGGCTTGTACAGTCCCTGCTGAAGCCTGCGCTGCCATGGGTTCACTGCCCTGAGACCTAAGCTAGGTCAATGAAAACTTGCTTGGGTATGTCTACTTCAGCTGCAGTCACACCACATGATTGCAGAATAGACATACCCTCTGTTTATAAGATTTCCAACATGGCATATCTAAATATTCTTGCAAAATTAGTGTCTTTGCAACATTTAAAGGAATGTAATTTTGAAATGCTGTAAAAAACTATGGGCTTATGGGGCACAGCAGTACTAGCTTGGTTGTTTCATTTCAAGAAACACAGCATGATTCTGCATTCACAGAACAGAGCCTTCTTATTCATCAGACAGCTAGTTCACAACCCTCCTAAAGGCTATAGAACTTTTACTTGCCTCCCCTCCCCAGCCCAAAGGTAATTAGGATCCATGAGCAGAGCATTGCTGCTTAGAAATTATCTTTTTGCCACAAAGTAAAAGCTCTTTTGACTCTCTGGGAGCCCACTACCGCACAAATCCAAATTCATGTATAGTTATAATGACTAAGTGTCTCTAGAAGAATTTTAGGTAGCATCTCTCTGTGGCAAGCACTTTCCCCACTTCGCCAATAGAGGGAGTAGAGTGCTCTTTCCACTCTGGAACTTCAGGCCACAGAGCTTACATTAAGGATGTGATTTTAATTGCACCCTAGCCAGGGAATTGAGGAGGGCATAGGAACATCAACTCTGCTCTCTCCGTTGCCTGTATATAAAGGGCATCTTGCATACAGGATCTCACAGCATATATGGAAGTAAAACTACATGCTTCATGTGCACATGTATAGGTGGAGAAAAAAAGTGCAATTCCTTTAAATTATGTTAATGTATTATGGTCCGGACACTCAACTTGTAATATAAAAAACAGCGAACCAAAAGCAAGTTGGTGTGAGGCTGAGGTAAACTTTGCTTTAAAATAAGCAATTTACTGTCCCTTGCAATCAAGAACAATTGCAAGGTATATTTGTCAGGCTCTCTGTGCTCCAGTATAATCACAAATTGCTTCCATGTGGAGGAATCTCTGAGACTTTCTCATGCTCCTGGTTTAGCAGGAGCTAGGAGCATCACAGAAGTTATACTTGCAGCTCCTGCAGCAGGTACATCATCAATATCACATAACAAGGCATGGGGCACTATGAGCAGCTGCCAATTCTGGACAGTGCTAGAAAGGGCTGTGAAGAGCTTGATACAGAGATATTTAAAGACTTGCTCAAAACCATGAGTCACAAGCGGAGCTGGGCTTTGAGTTTGTGCCACTTAGCCCCATGATCTGTCCACTGCCTTGCTAACAGCTGTGCCCAATTATGTATTGCAGAGAATAAAACCTCAAGGAAAATGGTTAGCCTAGCCTCAAAACATCTCAAGTGGGAGTTGACACTTAAATTCACACACACCCCTCCGCTGCAGAGTACAAAGCTTTACAACCTTTAAAACAAGTGTCAGTAGCACATGTCAAAATATACAAAGTAAATATCCTTAAATCACACTAAGTAGTTCTCAAGCAGGCAAAGTAATAAAAATGCTATCTGTACACTTATCAATGGAAATATTTTTCATCAGTTTGTGTATGGTGAGGATTAAAAATTTAATCCTTCCAAGCCTATGTCTAACCCTAAAAAAGCTTAATCTCATAAATTAACACAAAGTACCCTTTTTACTTCTCAATGTTTATCAGAGACTTGGGAATAATTTTTATCCTTTCTTTAAAAAAAAAAACAGAAAACCACCCCTCCCTTAGTCACCTTTGACTTGTGGACTTTAATACAAGATTACTCTCTTTTGAAGAAATATCTTGTGTGTAGTGAAGATAAATCTTAATACTTGTAGAAAAGAAGCATTTTTTGTAAATGTCTACATGAAGCAGCCCCCCAAAAAACTTTACTTTTCCAACATAGGTAGACCAATATGCTGTCAAGGTTATGAACTCAGATTCTTTCAAGTAATCAGCTTTCATCAACTGAATCAGTAGTGACATCCAGTGGCTACACAGCTGAACTATCAGATTGTTTCTGTAGACCAGATGTTTCCAATCTGAGGTCCACAAATCTTTTGTTGGTTACAAGATGCTGGCTCTCTTCCTTGTTTCCGGTTGAGAGAACACAGACCAGGTTGCAGGTGGTGGGTTAGAATGA